AGGAATTATGGGCATGTAGATTTTATTTAGAGATGATATTTAAATTTTTAATGTTTATTTATTTTTGAGACAGAGAGAGACAGAGCATGAACGGGAGAGGATCAGAGAGAGAGGGAGACACAGAATCCGAGGCAGGTTCCAGGCTCCGAGCTGTCAGCATAGAGCCCACACGGGGCTCGAACTCATGGACCGTGAGATCATGACCTGAGCCAAAGTCGGACGCTTAACTGACTGAGCCACTCAGACGCCCCTAGAGATGATATTTAAAATAACAGGACAGCAAAATAAAAATAATAATAGGACAGCCCATAATCAAGAAATTGTCCAAGGATTGTCTCTAGGTCACTTCCAACCATAAGAAATTGGCAAGAGTAAGATCCACAAAAGGAAATCTGAAAGAAGAAGCCAATGAGATAGGAGGAAAACTAGAGCATAGTGGTCTGGAAGCCAGGTGTGGATAGTGTTTCGAAAAGGAAGGATATACTTAGGAACAGAAGTTTAAGCATGAAAGAAAAAACATACTAGAAAATGATATCAAAGAAGTAAAACTACTATAACCCTGAATGTGAATTGGAAAGAACAACATGACAGACAACCAACCCAGCAGCAATAAGCAGGCTAGTACCCAGACTGAGCTTTACACATCATTATTAAAAGTTAAGGCAAGAAACATACAAGGTAAGCCTGAAACATCTTGTCTTATGAGAAAAAAAAGCCTTCAAAAAGCTACAGTGGTCATTTCAGAAACTGAGGAGTCAATTTCAAAAGGTACCCCCTCATGCAAGTGGCACAATTTGAGTATCGATATGAATAATCACAATGGACTGAAACACACGAACTACGTTTTGATGGATTAGTTTACCATCACAAATCAAAACCTCCAAACTAACAGGTTATCTCTGAATGTTTTTTAACTTTTTTTTGAGAGAGCGTGAGCACACGTGCATGGGCGAGGGGTAAAGAGATGGGCACAGAGGATCCAAAGCGGGCTCTGTGCAGACAGCAGTGAGCCTGATGTGGGGCTCGGACCCACTGACTGCATCCCACCAACTGCGAGACCATGACCTGAACGGAAGTCGGACACTCAACTGACTGGGCCACGCATGCGCCTCCCCCTTTTTTATTTTGCTAACTGGTTATCTTTGGAGGAAGTGCACTATGAAACCAACTCATCTTAAAAAACTATAAAACGGAAGAATATTTATTCTGCTTTTCCTATATGAACTATACTTCAGGAGAACCAAATAACTGATGAAACTTTATTTGTATAAAAGTATGCAGCGAATATGTGAAGACATCATGGGAATCTAACAGCACCATTTTGCAACCCTGAATGAAATAATCGATCCAGGCACCAATCATCAGTGGTTGCTCAAAACACAAAAAGAGAGCCAACCAGATGTCAAGTGTCACCCCATCTGTGAAGTTTTCCAAGGTCTCCCCACCCTGCCCCCAAATCAACCTGAATCTGATTAAGCCTCAGTTCTAAAGACCAGATTGTTGGGTATTCAGGGCTCAGAGCAAAATAAAGATGTAATCAGCAAAATTCAGAGTGTGGTGAAGAACAAATGACCCAGTTTTGTTTTGTTTTTTTTTTTTATAAGTTTATTTACTTTGGGGGGGGGGACAGAGAAGATCCCAGATAGGCTTCATACCATCAGTGCAGAGCCCAAGGCAGGGCTCGAACCCACTAACCATGGTATCATGACCTGAGCCAAAATCAAGGGTTGGACGCTCAACTGACCAAGCCACTCAGGCACCCCAACCCATTTTCTTCAAAATAAATAAATAAATAAATAAATAAATAAATAAATAAATAAATAAAAAAAATCAAGGGGAAAAAAAATGTAAGGAAACCTACAGTTAGACTTGGAAAACATATCAGTCAATGAATGCAATTAGTGAAACTCATTTCAACCTAGTTAAACTGTAAAAATCCTAAGACACAAGCAAGGAGACTGGAGATTTGAACAGACTGGGTATTTGATGTTATTAAAGCACTGTGGCTCAATTTTTTGCGTGCTTATAGTACTGTGGATATACATGTATTTATATACATACACACATATATACACACACACACACACATATATATTTAAGAGTGTTTGCTTTTAAAAATTTAATTTTAGGGGCGCCTGGGTGGCGCAGTCGGTTAAGCGTCCGACTTCAGCCAGGTCGTGATCTCGCGGTCTGTGAGTTCGAGCCCCGCGTCAGGCTCTGGGCTGATGGCTCAGAGCCTGGAGCCTGTTTCCGATTCTGTGTCTCCCTCTCTCTCTGCCCCTCCCCCGTTCATGCTCTGTCTCTCTCTGTCCCAAAAATAAATAAACGTTGAAAAAATAAATAAATAAATAAATAAATAAAAATTTAATTTTAAAAAATTTGCAGAGAAAATAAGATGCTCAAAATTAGCAGGGGAAGAAAATGTGTATAATAAGATTGACCATGAGATAACTGTTCAAGCTGGGTAAAGGGTACATGAGAATTCATCACATTATTTTCTCTAGTTTTTATTTGTTTGAAATTTTCAATGAAAAAGTTTTGTTCTATTCTACATGAGGGTATACTCAACTCCACCCTCAAGATGAGGTCAAATAAAAAGAAGACTGAGAGCCGAATACAAATGTGGAGGTCACTGATGAATTGAGAAGGCAACTTTTTGGTGAAATGTTGGCTATGACAATGTAACTGGAATGAGTTCAAGAACAGGAGACAATACACTAGAGGGGACTCTAAGGAGAAAATAAAAATGGGAGGCAGCTGGCCTTTCCTGGAGTAAAGAGAAGCTTTTTCTTACTTCTCTGCTGATAGGAGTAATACAGAAAGAGGGGGACAGTGACCATGCAGGCAAGTAGAAAAGATAAAAGCAAGAGCAAAGATCCTGAATAGGTGAGAGGAATTGGGATATAGCCCCAAAGTGGACAGGCTTGTCTTGGTCAGGAGCAGGGGACAATTCACCTATTTTAATAGGCTCAATGCACAGGCTGGGATACAGGCACGTTGATAGATGGGCATAAAGATGGAGTTCTCTTTTCTTGCTTATTTAAAAAAAATTTTTTTTAATGTTTATTTATTTTTGAGAGAGACAGAGACAGAATGCGGGTGGGTTGGGGCAGAGAGAGGGGAAGGCACAGAATCCAAAGCAGGCTCCAGGTTCCGAGCTGTCAGCACAGAGCCCGACGCCGGGCTTGAACTCACAGACCTTGAGATCATGACCTGAGCTGAAGTCGGATGCTCAACCAACTGAGCCACACAGGTGCCCCTCTTTTCATTGTTTCTGTTTCGTCAGAATACAAAGGAAGGTCATAGCTAGGGGTCAGGAAGAGGTGAGTGGTTAGAGATTTGAAGAGAGGAACTGGAAAATAACCATCTTGGAGAGTGGCAAGTGACCTTACTATGAAAACACAGTAGCAAGGTCAAGTGGCGCTAAAGGATCATTTGAAATTTGTCATCATAAATTTAAAGCAAAATCAGTCACCCCATTTTACGTAGCCATGTTCAGCTGCTCTGATGCAGGAATGGACAAGCCCAAGATCTAGTTTTAACCAGGGCTGGCATTTTGTCATGAAAGTATAATAGAGGGAAGGAAAGAGGAGTGGAGAAACGCATCAGATTGATTATAATGATGGGTTACAGAAATAAGCAGGGTCAGACAGGAAGTAAGGATATAAGGGCAATGTTTGGGTAGGGTTTAAAGAATTGTTGGATGCAGAAAACGGAGAAAATATGGTATAAAGATAGGCAATTGTCAAAGACTAAAATGCTTGTAATTGGGATTTGAAGGTGATACCGTTGTTGGTAATGGCAAAGGCAAGATGAAAAAACTGGTCTTTGAAAATAAAAATGTACGGAATCGGATGGATTTTTGTGTAGAAATCACTAACAATGATGAAGAGTTCAAGTTGAGAGAAAACAGTGAGTCAGACCCTAAAATATTCCATGGAAAAAGAGGATCACAAGTGAATGGAAAAGAGCAGGAGCCAGAGTTTACTCTCGTGCCAGGTATTTTAGAGAAGCTGGAATCTTTAGGTAAGAACAGTGGCCTGAAGAAGCAAGAAGCAAGAAGAATACCCCCACCCACCACGCCTGGCCATGGAGTCCGTGGGGTCTGGAAGGAACAAGAGCCATTACTTAGTGGGGTTGCTAAGGCAGGAGCAACCTCAGGGGAGGGCCAAGTGTCAGTGAAAACTCTAACTGGATGGATAGTATCATCCAAATCACAGATTAAAGTTCACCAAGAAAAACATAAAGATGATTTCACTGCCCCTGCCATAAAAACAGTATTGTTATACTTACATCTAATAGAGCTGGTTTTATTAAGCTACTTTGAAAGACAATATTATAAAAATTTCAGTCTTTATTTACCTTCCTGTTGTAATTGAGCCAAGAAAAGTGCAAGGTATGTGTCTGAGATCAATTCTGGACCCGTCAAGAGAGAATTCAAGTTGAACCACTGGAAAAAAATTTTAAGTATTTAAGTTAATGTACATTATAAGTAATAGGGAAGTTCCATATGTTAAGAATAAATACAACCCATCTAAACTTACTAAGGCTATCTAAACACTGAAAACATGTCAAACCAAGATTTTTAAAAAGTAATTTAATAATATGATTTTTAAAAACTGAAATAAATGTTGCAGATTTACCAGTATTAAATGTTTTAAAAATAAAATTTTGCAGGGTGCCTGGGTGGCTCAGTCAGTTAAGCATCCGACTTCGGCTCAGGTCCTGATCTCATGGTTCGTGGGTTTGAGCCCTGCATTGGGCTCTGCGCTGACAGCTTAGAGCCTGGAGCCTGCTTCGGATACTGTGTGTCTCTCTCTCAAAAAATAAATAAACATAAAAAAAAAAATTTTTTTTTAATTAAAAATAAAATTTTGCTTGGGGTGCCTGAGTGGCTCAGTTGGTTGGGTGGCCGACTTCGGCTCAGGTCCTGATCTCACGGTTTGTGAGTTCGAGTCCCGCGTCGGGCTCTGTGCTGATAGCTCAGAGCCTGGAGCCTGCTTCAGATTCTGTGTCTCCCTCTCCCTCTGCCCCTCCCCTGCTCATGCTCTGTTTCTCTGTCTCAAAAATAAGTAAAACATTAAAAAATTAAAAAAACAAAATAAAATAAAATAAAATAAAATTTTGCTTTAAGTCATAAACTTTGTATCTCCCACCCCAAAAAAGAGTACAGAAATTGATACTACTTTAAAGTATCTTTATTGATAGGTATAATCAAATCTTTTTCAAAGTATCAGCCCAACAAAACCCTAATCACATTATACTGAAGAAAAATGAAACCAACACAAAGTCTTCCCACTACTGGTAATTTTGGCCAAAAGATTCCAATTGTGAGAAAAGTAGACATTCCAGGAAGGGAATTCAAAACCGCCAAATGATTTTACACGGATCACTGAGCCACTGTCACATGTAATTAAAATCACTTAGTCACTATTTTATAGGATTCCTAATGTAACCCACAAGATACAAAAGTTTCCAAAGTTACTGTCAACATCATGACCAACTACTTTTCCTGGATTTTGACAGAGATGATAGTACTTTTCCAGTCACCCATTTCTCCAAAGAAGACATCCCAGATGGCCAATAGACACATGAAAAGATGCTCAACATCACTCACCATCAGGGAAATGCAAATCAAAACTACAATGAGATATCACCTCACACCTGTCAGAATGGCTGACATCAAAAGCATAAGACTCAGGTGTTGACAAGGATGTGGAGAAAGAGAAACCTTCCTGCACCGTGGGTGAGAATGCAAACAGTATGGAGTATGGAAACAGTATGGGGTTTCCTCAAAAAATTAAAAATAAAACTACATTTTGATCCAGTAACTCCACTACTTGGGTGTTCTCCGAAAGAATAAAAGCACTAATTCGAAAAGACATATGCACCTCTATGTTTACTGCAGCATTATTTACAACAGCCAAATTATGGAAGCAGCCCAAGTGTCCACCAATAGATGAAGGGATAAAGAAGATAGGAGATACACACACACACTCTCACTCTCTCTCTTTCTCAACGGAATATTATTCAACCATAAAAAAGAATTAACTTTTGCCATTTGCAACAACACGGATGGATCTAGAGAGTATAAGGCTAAGTGAAGTAACTCAGAGAAAGACAGATACCATAGGATTTCACTCATATGTGGAATTTAAAGAACAAAGGGAAAAGAGACAAACCAAAAAACAGACTCTTTTTAAAAAAAAGGTTTTTTTAATGTTGATTTATTTTTGAGGGAGAGAGAGACAGAGTGTGAGCAGGCAAGGGATAGAGAGAGAGACAGACACAGAATCCAAAGCAGGCACCAGGCTCTGAGCTGTCAGCGTAGAGCCTGACACGGAGCTCGAACTCACAAACTGTGAGCTCAGGACCTGAGCCGAAGTTGGATGCTTAACCGACTGAGCCACCCAGGCGCCCCAAAAACAGACTCTTAACTACAGAAAACAAACTGGTGGTTATCAGAGGAAGGTGGGTAGAGGACAGGTTATATGGGTGAAGGGGACCAAGAGTGCACTCACTGTAATGAGCACTGAGTCATGTACAGAGCTGCTGAATCACTTACACGTACATCTGAAACTAATATAGCATTGTATGTTAACTATACTGGAATTTAAAAAAATATATATAGGAAAAAAAACGTTTCCGGTCATCTTTTTCATAATACAAGGACCTCTAACAAAAGAGTGTACAGCGAAAAACATAACTGTAAACAAAAATATAAATTAGAGCCAAATATAGTAAGTTAAAACTGGACATTTCTTGTATTTATAAAAGATTAATTAAGTAATTTAAAATGTGAAAATTCAATTTTAAACTAAAATTTGTAAAATCTCTCAAAATAACGATGCAAGTTTACATGCAAATCACCAAAGGAACTTCTGGAACCTAAGTCTTCAGATCTTAAAAAAAAAAATCCAGTGATTATACAGGAAAGGTAAAGAATACTTGATCATAATTTTTTAAAGATATAAATAAAAGCCGAAGGTTAAATAATCTCGGCAGTGTCCTCTCTGCTTTCTCCTTGGAGCTGACCCCCACTCAGGTCAGCCTCTACTGCAACGCACCTCCTTACTTGCTCTTTGTACAACTCAGGAGGGACCTTTAGAAATAATCGGGTCACAGGACTTAAAAGGACTTAAAACATAATAGCAGGGTTTCTATTTTTGAATTATCTTTTATTGATTTAATCAGTGCACTCATTCTTGATTTCATTTTCCTTTTTGCTTCGTATTATTTTATTTTCCAAAAGTTTCGTGGAGCTATAACTGACATGCGAGAAACTGCACATACCTAAAAGTGTTCAATTTGAAGCTTTACCATATGTGTACACCCAAGAAACCATCACCACCACCGAGAGTTTCCAGGGCCCTTGTGATCCTCCTCTCTCACTGCTCCTCACCATCCTCATCCCCAGGCAACAGCTGGTTAATCTGTCATTACAGATTAGTCTGCAATTTCTAGACTTATATACAAATGGAACCTTACAGTACATAGTATTTTGTATCTGGCTTCCTTCACTCAGCATAATTATTTTTGTTCACCCATGTTGCTGAACGTATCAATAAGTTCATTTCTTTTTATATTGGACCATTTCTAATATTCCTGTTTCCAAGATTCAAAACATTTTTTTTAAGTTTATTTATTTTGAGAGAGACACAGACGGTGTGAGTGGGGGAGGGACAGAGAGGGAGAGGGAGAGAGCGAGAATCCCAAGCAGGCTCCGCACTGTCAGTACAGAGCCTGACAAGGGGCTCCAACTCACGAAACCGAGAGATCATGACCTGAGCTGAAACCAAGAGTAGGCCCTTTAACCGACTGAGCCTCCCAGGCGCCCCAAGATTCAAAATTCTAATAAAAAGGGCTTTTTTCTTAAGTTTATTTAGTTTTGAGAGACAGAAAGAGTGTATGGGGGGGAGGCACAGAGAGAGAGAATCCCAAACAGACTCCACACTATCGGTGGAGAGCCTGATGTGGGGTTCAGACCCACACAAGCGAGACCATGACCTGAGCCAAAATAGAGTCAGATGTTTAACCAACTGAGCCACCCAGCCGCCCCTAAAAAGGACTTTACATAATTGTTTCAAAATAGTGTCATGTATCCAAAGATCTTTGGTAATTATCTTAAAAAATGACACCTTAGGTACGTTTCTTGATCTTAAGAAAGGCTTGTTCAAGACACATTCCGTGTTCTTTTAAAAAAAATAGAGTTTTATGTAGATGTACGTATTATATCCACATAGATTTTATGAAGCCTTATGTATTACATGACATTTTGGAATGTGGATAATCTTGATATGCTAAAGCAAACATAACTGAAAACTTTTTATTCATGCTGGATGCTATTTCAGGCTTCATGACACTACTGTATGCCGAGAACAAATCTATAAAGTCATAGTTAACTGGAAGAACATTTTAATCCCATAAAAACTCACTAAAAGTGACCCCTTCTGTACTGTATTAAATAGAAAGCTTTTCTTATGTAGTTAAATTGTACAGTTGACCCTTGAACAACGTGGAGGTTAAGGGTGCTGGCCCCTGGCACAGCTGAAAATCCACGTATAGCTTGACTCTTCAAAAAACTCAGTACTAATAGCCTACCGTTGACTGGAAGCTTTACTGCTAATGTAAACAGTTAACACACATTTCGCATATATACTGTATACTTTTTTTTTAAGTAGGCTCCATGCTCAACGTGGGGCTTGAACTCACAACCCTGAAATTAAGAGTTGCATGTTCTATCGACCAATCAGGCACCTATGATATACTTACTTTCACAATAAAGCTAGAGGAAGGAAAATGTTACTAAGAAAACCATAAAAATAAAAGGAAGATCAGAAGGAAAATACATTTATAGTACTGTACTGTAAAAAACAATCCACGGATAAGTGGACCCATGTAGTTCAAACCCATGTCGTTCAAGCATCAACTGTGCATGGTTGTTACAAATAAACCTATAAGGGAAACTGCTACTGTCTTTGAAAAGAGAAAATTTCCATTAAGATTAAAACCATACCATACACACACGTTACTGGTAAATTTCTTCATCCGGGAGGTATGAACATTTTAGTTGCAAATGGAGGGAAAAATGAGAAAAAAGACAAAAGGAGAAACATTACCTGTTTTCCTAATTTTCGAACTGTAAACCAGTGTTCTTTGTAATTGCATATGAATGACCTTTCATTTCTAGAAAAAGAAAAAAAATGCATACACAATATTAAGTTGAAATAACAGAGTTCACATTCATTTAGTTTATCTACTAGCAAGTATTATATAAAACATGATAGTTTAGGATTGTGCTTACAGTGAAGCATCACAGATTTTGAGAAATTACAAAATAGCATTAAAAACAAAACCAAAACCAAAACCCAAACAGTAGAAATCTCTCTGCAGGTTAGTGATGCCGCATGCAAGAATGATGGCACCACACACCCTTTAAGGATCAGTCCTGTGCTGCCTGACACCGAAGGGAGGAGGGGAGTTAATGGGCAGATGTTCACGGACATCCCCAAAAGGTGTCACAGCGAACTCTGAGGGAATGAAACAGGGAACATCAAGCAAGACAAAAGCATTCAAAATATGCTTTGCTTCTTTAAGAAATTATAACTTTAAAAATCAAGTTTAGAAAAAGCAATGTGGAAGAGCAAAATAAAATCTTACATGGGATCGATCCCGAGCCTCTGATACTCTGGACTGTTGAAGAGAATTAGTTCTAAACCCCAAACCTTCAAGGCATTGCTTATAACCTGTTTAAAAAAAAAAAAAAAAAAAAAAAAAAAAAAAAAAAGCAACTTTTCATGAGCTAAACCATTCAATTCCAAATTAAGTAGCGCAGCCATGTTAGTTGCATAAACAACTGTACTTCATAATTTTCCCTAGAAGGCTATGCTTTTTAAAAAGTATGTGTATAAATACATCACTGAATCCATAAAAGAAAAAAAAGTACCTATAAAAGAGTCCTTTTTACACTAGGTTTCTGGAACATTCCAGAGAACCACATAATTCCGAGATAAAACTGTCTCAAAAATCCAGATGTATATTCTACTCAGTATTCTTTTTTTTTTCAATGTTTATTTATTTTTGACAGAGAGAGAGACAAAGCATGAGCGGGGGAGGAGCAGAGAGAGAGAGAGGGAGACACAGAATCCAAAGCAGGCTCCAGGCTCTGAGCTGTCAGCACAGAGCCCGACGTGGGGCTCGAACCCACGAGCCGTGAGATCATGACCTGAGCCGAAGTCGGACGCCTAAGTGACTGAGCCACCCAGGCGCCCCTAAGTATTATTCTTAAAAGTAGTCCACTATATACACACAATAATCTGGCTGCTCCGGTCCTGCTTTGGAAAAGTTATATTCAACTTACTACCTGGTATGTCAGTAGTGATGAAAATTTTGTCTATTAAAAATGGATTCTTCCTGGGAATTTAAACTGAAGCTTTCAGACTTTGAACTACCATCATGGGTTTGTAATTCGTAGGAAAAAATAAATAAATAAGCCTGATTACTTCCAACTGTCTGGAGGAAAAAAAAGGACATTTCTGAAAATTCACTCTCCGCCTTCCGAGGCAGCCAACAGAGCAGCAAGTGAACCAGGTGCCAGCTAGCACACATAAACAGCGAACACAACGCAGGGGGCAGACGTGAACAGGCACCAAGACCAGCGTCCCAGTGTCGCACAAACAGGCAACAGCAAGCGCAGGGCCCGCTCGAGCCTCCTCTAGCGCTGCGGCAGCTCTCACCAGGTACCGCCCATGTGGAGCAGTGCTGGACGGAGAGGCTACTGAATGAGGGGTCCAGGAGGACAATACAGGGGGACGGAACAGGCTCCTCGAGAGAGCTTCTGGAAGAACTCTGGATATACCTCCCGGCTGTTAGAATGAAAGACCCATGGATAAGGCAAAAGAATCTCACAAGTACATACACATTCACCCACAGAATTCAAGGGGAGCCGAAAGTGTAAAAAAAGAAAGAAAGCAAAAGCCACAGACCATAATAAAGGAATCCAGTCCTGGTACGCGGATTTAAATGGAAGGCAGTGAGGTGCTGCATTTTCTCAAATTTATCCAAGATGTAGCAAGTTTGAAATACTCTTATTGGAACTACGGTTAACAGCATCCAAATGTAAATTACATGGTCTTCGTTCAAAACGCCCTACTCTAAAATGAAGGTTCTACAATCTTAATTTTCATGTTTATCTCTATAAAAATCTAGTGCTCTAGAGTATGATCTTACACTTTTTCCCCCAGTTTTTTCCTTGTGTTCTATGGCTTTATTTTTATTTTTTAATAATCTTACACTCTTAGACACAATCTACTAGAAGGACCGCTGAAGGTCACATCATTACAGTGACCGTGAAAAGAGATGCTGTCAGAAGAGATGCGTATCGACCACATCCTCAGCGCGATCAGTGCCCGGACATCAACAGCCCTTAGTACATGCTTCTAACCACTTACTTGAATAGAGAAAAAACCACTGTCGTCCATATTTCCCGAGGGCTGCTGTTTATTTCGGATGGGTCGTTGAGGCGGGGGTGGAGGGTGGGGAGAGAAGGATAGAAACCGTCATTGGTGTGCATATTTAAAATAACATCTTGCGCGGTCCCGTTTATGAAGTCAAGAGCATAGTTATAATCGACAAGTCAGATCCCCATAGGAAGAATGCTTCATCCTTTTCTAAAGGGTACCCACATTTTTTCAGAACCTGATTCGGTGAGTTGAAAGTCAGTACCTGTAAAAAAGTGCGATAGTCCTCACTGGTGACTCCTCCTTCTGCCATTCTCATTCTCTCCTCTTCGTCCAGCTGATGGGCAATGGAAGACAGCTCCACAGGGCTAAAATATTCTCCTTGCAATAGGTTATTCAAGCAATGTTGAGCACAAAGTGAGCCTTCTTGCTAATATTTTCAAAAGAAAAAATTCAAATGTGATTTGCTGAACAGACTTGTACGGTATCTTCCTCTCAAGAGGAATTTAATCACTAACGCAGCCAAACCGAGCCATTTTGGCCTTCAACAGCAATGATTTACGAAGTACCTGAATTTTCATTTAACACTTGTTTTATAATTTTACCATTAAGGAAACTACAATTATTTAGCTCTATGATCAAAAACTTGAGAATGACTTATATAAACAAACAGCATTCTCTACAAATATGCCAAATTTCACATTTCACTAGAAACTACTCTATAAAAACATTAGCACCTCTCATTTTCAGTACCTAAAATATATCTCTTTGGGGGTTCCATGGAAAATTACTAACACTGAAAGCGAAATTTTAATCCCTAGAACATGTGTGTTCTTTTAATAAGATAATCTACTCGATCAAGAGGCCTGAGTGGCTCAGTCGATTAAGCCTCTGACTTCGGCTCAGGTCATGATTCACGGCTTGAGTCCGAGCCCCATGTCAGGCTCTGCGCTGACAGCTCAGGGCTTGGAGCCTGCTTCGGATTCTGTGTCTCCCTGTCTCTCTGCCGGTGCACCGCTCATGCTCTCTCTCTCCTTCAAAAATAAATAAACATTAAAAAAATTTTTTTTGAAGATAATCTATCGATCTAAATGCTTACTCAAGGAGTTTCAAATCAATGAACAAAAGTATCTCAAGAATTGATACAGGTAGGAAAGATCCTGCTCGACGTTAATGAAGACCTGTAGCCAACCGAACCAAGGTTCTCTTCGGGGACCTCTGCACAAAATGTCTATGCAGTATGTACAACAAGCAAAACTTCCCCAAACCACACCTGGAGCTCGTTTCTGAACAAGCCAGCAAGGAGGGCTGCATCCAAGGAGGCATCACTGGCTTTGTATCGTTGGGGGGGTGGAGGGAGTACAACTTCCCATGGGCCCCAGGGTCTTCAGCTGCTGGGCAGCTGGCCCTCACACAGTTGGCACCCCAAATGTAAATCCGAGCTGCCTTGGGCGCCTGGGCGGCTCAGTCGGTTAAGCGTCCGACTTTGGCTCAGGTCATGATCTCACAGTTTGTGGGTTCGAGCCCCACGTCGGGCTCTGTGCGGACAGCTCAGCACCTGGAGCCTGCTTTGGATTCCGTGTCTCCCTCTGTCTCTGCCCCTCTCCGCTCGTGCTCTGTCTCTCTGTCTCTCAATAATAAATAAACATTAAAAAAAATTTAAAAAAACAAATAAATCCCGGCTGCCTGGCCCTGAGCAGTCTGCTTATCACCCTGCTCCCCACAACAATGTCACTTTCCCATACTTGCCCTGGAAGAAGGGAAACTCACTGGCGAAGGAGATCCCTTCCTGTGAACACAGACCCCTCTGTGGAATGATGGCAGAAGATGAGAATACTTTCTCCTCCCACTAACCCTGATCCTCTAAGTTCTCCTTTCCTCCACTAAAGTCTATGCCTTAACCCAGCCTGTCTTACCTTGTACGATTTGCTCTGTCACTCAAGAGTGACACAGAACTCTTTGGTGACTCCAAAGAGCAACACCTGATGAGACACATATTTCTCCTGGTTCTAGGAACAAAATTCAGCTTCAGAAAATGATACAGGGTATATGAATGCAGTGGAATAGGAAGACAGCATTGAGAGAGTCTGAGTGCAAGATAGGGAGGGGGCCAAGATAAGCTTATCTTCATATTTTGGTATAGAAGTACCTTGAAGCTGAAGACAGTATCCCTGAAGTCACAGCCACATAGTGCAAGAGAAAGTGTCTCCACCTCTTTTTCCTTCTACTGTATTCCTACCTCTAGAAAGAAACTTCCTCTGAACAATACAACGTGAACTGAAGGAATACACAGCCATCCTACTTATATTCTACTGAAAAACGGGCAAGACAAACAAGTATTCACAAACAGACAAAAAGATGCTCAACGTCATCAACCATCAGGGAATGATATATTAAAACTGCAGTATGTTACTACTATACGCTCTCCAAAATGGCTAAAATGTTGGAGATCAGAGACATCAAAATACCACTTGTGGACATGTAAATTAGTACAACCCCTCTGGAAAACTATTTGGAGTATCTACTAAAGCTTAACATATACGAACCCTGTGGTCTAGCAATTCCACTCTTAGGTACATAATGCCAACAACAGAAATGTAAACATACATTCATCAAAACACATATAAAAATGTTCCTAGCACTACTACTGGTAATGCCCCACCCTGAACCATCCAGATGCCCATCACAGAATGGGTAAACTGTGCTCTTTTCACAAGGGAAAACTATATGACGATGAGAATGAATTCACTACAACGACCTGCAACAACACAGACGAATCAACGTTAAAGAAGATAGATTCAAAGAGCAGCCGCTGTATGATGCCATTTATAAAAACTCAAAAACAGGCCAAACTCATCTATGACGTTAGAATTCAGGACAGTGATCACCCTCACAAGGGTGAAGGTGGGGTGGAGGGATAGTATCTGGAGGAAGGCCTAAGCGGAGCAAATAAATATTCTGTTACCTGATCTAAGAATTATTTACACATGTGTTCACTTTGTGAGACCTCACTGAGCTGTACTCTTATGGTGTGTGTACCCTTAATGTGTGTTTGTTACAGTTAAAAAAGTTCAAATAACAACCACAACAACTCTGCTAAGATACAGGTATTTCACATATCAAGAACTTCCTTTTTTTACGTTTATTTATGTACTTAACTTTTTTAAAGTTTATTTATTTTGAGAGAGAGAGAGAGAGAGAAAGAAAGGCCACACACGCATGAGTCGGGGAGGGGCAGAGAGAGAGAGAGAGAGAGAGAGAGAGAGAGAGAGAGAGAGGGAATGAATCCCAAGTAGGCTCTGCACTGTCAGTACAGAGCCTGATGTGGGGCTCAAACTCATGAACTATGAGATCATGACCTGAGCTGAAACCAAGAGTTGGTCCCTTAAATGACTGAGCCACCCGAGCACCCCATGTTTATTTATTTTTGAGAGAGAGAGAGAGAGCTCATGCAAGCAGGAGAGGGGCAGAGAGAAGGAGACAGAGGTTCCAAAGGGGGCTCCATGCTACCAGCACAGAGAGAGTCTGATGTGGGGCTAGAACTTACCAACCGTCAGATCATGACCTGAGCTGAAGTCAGAGACGCTTAACCGACTGAGCCACCCAGGAGCCCCAAGAACTTCCTACTATGGTCACCAGACACCGGATTTTCTGGGAACAGTCCTAATGCAAATTTTCTGTCTGGCTGTCAGGTTACATGCCTCAGTTTGGTGCTCTCAAACTATGGTCGTCACATTTAATACATATATTGAAATAGTGAAGCCAACTATTTAATAAAAAATTCTCTCTCTAAAAAACTCGCTTTGGGGTGCTTGGGTAGCTCAGTCACTTGGGCAGCTGACTCTTGGTTTTGGCTTGGGTTGTGGGTGGGATTGAGTCCCACACTTGGAAAACTCTCTCTCCCTCTGCCTCAATTCTCCACTCGATCTCCGTAAAATAATTTAAAAACCTAGCTTTGAAGTACAAAAAAATAAGCAATTGATATCAAACTTTGTCTAAGTAAACTGTCACAGGAAATAGCAAGTTCTGTACTTCTAATGTGATTTAATAGAAGAAAACAAATTGTTCAGTCCAAATTTAAAATCACTTTTTAAACAAGGTGAATCAAATTCTACATGAACCCAAAAAAAAATTGTACAAGTGCCCCACCTAATATTATCCATTCCCAGCCCACCAATTTATCCCCACCCACCTCTTCCTCGTGGAGCTTTAAACCAAAGTTGGATAGAAGTTTATATGTGCTATGGTCAAAGTTCAGTAGCATTGAAATGCCATGATTTTAGGCCCAGACTTCTTGTATTGGGATCAGAGGATGAACAATCTGTATGTTCAGCTTTACCGAGGTATTTTACAAAACCACAGAGGGTTTTATAAAATACACTTACACAGAGGGTAAGTGTAACCAAATCATTCTCTCACCGTCCTTAAAGTCTTCAGGACCAACCGGCAACGAGTTCAAATTCCCACAGACACTACTGATTACAGCGGAAACCAGGCATAAACCTTCAGGTGCACTCAGGGTCGGCCTAAAGTGCCCACACAATCAACCTATGACTACTTCTTCATCTCATCTCAGTGACGCTAAGCTCTCACCCCCTATGGCGAGGTCCAGCACACACAAGTATCTGAGTAACAACAATGGCCGGCACTTCCCTAGTACATGTGCCAGGAAGCATTCCAAGTGTTTATAACTGAGGTAGACACTTCATTATCCTCACACCACAGAGGAGGAAACTGGAGCACAGAGAGATAATGAGTAACTTGCTCAGGATCGTATGGATTGTAAATAGCAGAGCCGGGATTCAAACTCAGGCAGAAGTGAGGTCTGTGCTATTATTACTTCCTCGAGCCACTCATTTGGAATTGGGTTTTCCCTAGACCTCCACTGTCCTCAAGACGGCTAGAAACCAACAATCACAAAAAGGCCAAATGAATAGCATCAAGTCAAAGCTCAGCATCTTCCGGCATTTTCATTAATTTTAAACACAATCCCAACAAGTGTGGCTACACTCTCAATTTACATTAAAAGTACCAATTTGGATGGCACTGTGCCCACACCAAGAGCAGTTAGCAATAGAAATGGTAACAGAAATGACAGAAAGCAGACATCAGAACTAAAACAAACACCAAAACACCGGGCAGTTAGTGGCCATTTAGTACGAGGGTTTGTTAGGGCTTGGCAAACTCTAGCCAATAGGCCAAATACAACCTGCTCCTGTGGCTAAGAGTGGCTTTTATGATTTGAGATGGTTGGGTAACACACCCACACACAAACAAGAACATGTGAGAGGCAGTATGTGACCTGCAAAGCCTAAAATACTTACAGAAAAATGATTTCTTTTAGATAACTACCACCATACACATCTTAGAAGCTCAAGAAACTCTCTTAATTCACTTAAATATTTATTGAGCAACTATGTGCTAGGCACCATCTTAGGCACTGGGGATATACCACAGAACAACTGTTAAGTTTACATCCTAACTTAAAGGGCACTCAAGGTGGCGCCACTGTGAAAAAGGGGAAACCAACATTCCCAGAGGAAGCAGTTGCAAGGCAGGCATCTCTATATACACAGCTTCCTTAAGGCCAACGCTGGTGCTCTGACAAAGGTCATATGTATGCGGCAGACGGGGAAAGGAGGGTGCTGAAAAACGGCATATTAAGCTCAAACATTCCCAGAATGGACTGTGTATGAGATTCACGACGGGCCCTGTGGTTATAGGTATTTTCCATACTCTTGAAATATGCCTAAAAAACTTCAAAAGCCCTCATCTGTTAAGTACATATAAGTTGATAAGGATAAATGTATTCTGTAAGTACCTTTAAGCCTACACAGATGTTGATAATCGAGAGTGACTTCTTTCAGGAAAAGTAGACCTTTATGAGGCTAGCACCCAGCTACTAAACCACCCAGGTTTAGTAGTTACCTTCACTGAAATCTATCCCAACAGTGCCAATGGCTGTCAATCAATATCTGTAAAAATATGTAACTCTCAAGAGGTGGTGTGGAAAAAGTTTAAAGTCTTCCATTTGAAACATCTGGTCCTATACCAAAGCTTTTGAAAATTAGGAATAAAAATATGTATATGGAGGGTTCTCTTCATTCAATCTCCTTAGCCAGGCAACTAAATTTCTCTTGTCCAAGATTCATCAATCACGTCAATCAAGTCAAAAGATTAGTGGTAACTATAGGAGTCCTTCCTCCGCCCCCCCCCCCCAACATAAAAACTGGTCTACTCCAGTGCCAAAACGTTCTAAAATGTTTTCTATAAAGAAAAGCATTCCATTGAACAACTTGTTTAGATCCATCCTGTGTCTCTTTTGTCTTTGGTGGCTTTGTGTGAATGGATAAATGATCGTTTACAAGTATTTAACAAAACCAAACCCTGCTGCTCCTACTAAACAAAAGCCTTCCCGACAATCCTTTCCAAACACGAAACTATTATGAAACAATGTATCTATCATGTGCCAAAGTTGTCCTGGGGAAGGTTTCACTCACACCCAAATAGCTTGTTTCTCCACATGCCACCAATCGTATCTTCAAGTGCGTGGTCGTTAAAGAATAAAAGCAAAACAGGCTAGGTGAACGACAACAAAATTATTCCAGTCTAGTCCTGATAACTAATAAGGAAGCTGGCCTCCTGATCCGGAAAGATGCAACTACCAAAAGAAACGAAACCTAGACATCCCGTAACAAAAACTCCTGTGACGACTTCCCTGTTCAGGGGCGCTCAGGATTTCCTACCTCACTTCCCCAAGTGTCAGGCCCTACGTGGGACGAGCCAAGGTCCCCGCCCTAGGGAGGCTCAGGGACCCGGTGCAGGAGGACAAGAACACAACCCCGGAGATCTAAGTGTATGGGAGGTTCCAATATAGAACAGAGGAGCCCAGAGGAGGAAAAGTTAATTCTGCCAGAAGTGGGACTGAGGGAGTGGGGTGGAGTTGGGGAGGGTCGAGGGGAGGGTCCAAGAGGTGACTAACTAGAACCTAGAGAGACTGGGGGAGAAGGGAATGGAGAGTGAAGCCCACGGAAAGTGGAAGGGAAGCGCGGAAGCTAACCCATTCGGTGCCACCGCACTCCCGTGCCCCCATGGTGTCCCCGGCCCTGCCCTCACTCCCTCCCAGCTGCCCGGGCGTCCCGAGCCCCGGACACCTCGGGCACCGGCCTCTTTGGCAGAGGGTGCGGTGGGGGCGTCGGTGAAGCTGCCCTCCCTACGAAGTTCCCCCGCCCGGCGAGGCTGGGATGGGGGCGCTCGGGCCCCCGCCAGCTCTGCGGGAGGAGGCTGTACCGCGCCCTACCGCAGCCACGGCACAACAGACAGCTCCCCACCGAACGCGGACACTCACTTTCTCGTGGAAGATGGACTCCATGTTTATTTGTGTGGAGCCAACGGCCCCCGCGCCGAACCACCCCCCTCCAGCCCCGCCCCTCGGCCCCACCCCTCCGCCCACCCTGCCCCGCCCCGCCTCGAGCCGCCCCTGCCCACGTGCCTCTCACAGACCAATCATCTCCGAGGAAGTGAGTCACGTGGAGCGAAGAGCTAGTGAACGCCGGGGCGGTAAATGCGAGGGCACGTGACCTGTGTAGCGCGTCCTGCGATCTCCCTTTATCTGGCCAGCTTGGGGGGGTGGGGGTGTTGCAGCGCCACCTAGGGTCTGGAGGATCTCCGCTTCCCACCCATTGCTATGGATTTGTAGGCTATTAGGGGTCTGGACAAGGAACACCTGGGTTCTATGTTCTTTTATGTTTTCCACTTTGTATTTTATGCTTATCATATTTGCATTTAATTATTTCATATCTTTCTCGTCCTCCCCCACTGAAAGCCGGATTAAGAAAAAGACATCATTGCATCCCCCAACACCTAGCACTTGTGTAAAAATGTAGTTAATACTTATACAGAGCTTACTGTAGGGTAGGCATTATTCTTCTTAAACTACTTTTGCATATATTAACGAATTTAATACAACCTTTGATGTAGGTGTTGTTATGATCCCTATTTTACCTATGAGGACACTGATGCACAGGGAGATTAAGAAAAGAAGGGTGAACAAAGTCAACTGGTAAGTTGCTGCGCTGGGGTCCAAATCCATACACCTTGTTATTAGTGTCTGTGTTCTGGCCCTGAAGAGGAAGCATGAGTTGGAGGAACTGAAAAATCCAGTAAAATGGGGGGAAGGTATTTGAGGCATCTGAAGGAGTAGGGAAGAAGCAGATTTTGCACCTTGAAATTAAGAAAGGTATGCTTTAAAAAAATTTTTTTAACGTTTATTTTTGAGAGAGAGAGTGGGCGAGGGGCAGAGAGAGGGGGACAGAGGATCTGAAGCCGACTCCGTACTGACAACAGAGAACCCAATGTGGGCCACCCAGGTGCTCCCAGGAAGGTATGCCTTTTTTTTTTTTTTTTTAATTTTTTTTTCAACGTTTATTTATTTTTGGGACAGAGAGAGACAGAGCATGAACGGGGGAGGGGCAGAGAGAGAGGGAGACACAGAATCGGAAACAGGCTCCAGGCTCTGAGCCATCAGCCCAGAGCCCTACGCGGGGCTCAAACTCACGGACCGTGAGATCGTGACCTGGCTGAAGTCAGACGCCCAACCGACTGCGCCACCCAGGCGCCCCATGGAAGGTATGCCTTTTAAAGGCAGTTAGGGAGTTATATACAGTTTTTAAAGGAGAAGAGACATGCTCAGATTTGCATTTTATAAAGATCACTAGCTACAGAAAAGAGCTGACGCTGTCGAGGGAGTCTTAGGAGAGCTGATGGTGTTTGGACTAGAGTATTGACCTGCAGTCGAGAGGAGACTGTTTTGAGATAATGAGGAATCGTGGAGACTCAACAGAACTTGGTGACTGTGGGAAGTGAGGGACATAGAAACATTAGGGATGATGTCTGGGTTTCTGCCCTAGGCAGCCACTGTGGCAGGAGCAGGAGGAAGGGCAAATTTTGGGAAAGAGAAGATAGAGGTTACCTCTTAGAGATGTTGAATTTGACAAACCTATGATCCATGAGAAAAGTAATGGGTGGGCACATAGATGATAGATAGATAGATAGATAGATAGATAGATAGATAAATAAATAGATAGAGGCACCTGGGTGGCTCCGTTGGTTGAGCTCAGGTCATGATCTTGTTGGAACCCCACTTTGGGCTTGCTGATGTCAGCCTGTAAGTGCAGAACCTGCTTTGGATCCTCTGTCCCCTCTCTCTGCTCCTCCCCCGCTTGCACTCTTCCAATAAATAAGTATTTTTTAAAAGATAGATAGTCTGGAGTTCAGGGGTTTGGTTTTGCTATAGAGCAGGGAGTTATTCACAGGAGTGAATAAAATCATCTAGGAGAAAAGGAAGAGCTCGAGAAGAGGATCTAAAGCAGAATCTTGAGGGTAGAGAAGGATTGGTGGAAGAGAAGGGAGGAAAAAGCGGGGGAGTGTAAAGTTATCAAAGCCCTGAGAAGGGAACGTTTCAAGGAGCAGTCAGTATCAGTTGCTGCCAAGAGGTCCAGCAACATCAGGACTTAGCAAGATTCCACTAAATTGTGTTGCTATGGAGACTATTGTTGACTTTGGTGAGTGCAGGTTCAGAGGAACACAAGGGGCAGCAGGAGGTAAGGAAATGGAGAGTCCAGTGAGGACCGGGTGCTCTGGGATAGGATTTAGTTACCATTTATCAGATGATGCTGTGTGCACAGTCCACAATCCCATATTGGGGAAACAGTCCATGCATGTTCTTAAGGAACTGTGGACTGACTGGGGAAACAAATCATGATCTCACGAAGTGAAAAAATATGCAAACCACTTTTTTTCCTGATTTTTTTAAAAGAAAGTTTGTGTCTATGTACAGAAACATGTGTTTACTTTTTTGCTTATATACATTACAAATCTCTGGAAGACTATATAGGAGACACAGAGGTTACCTACATGTTTGAGATGGGAAGGGAACTAGGCAATAGGCAGGGGTGGGAGGGAGACTTTTCACAGTATACAATTTTATTCTTGATTTTTGAACTATATTGTATTACTTATTCAGAAAAAAAATGTGATTATATTCATTTTATATGGCTACCGCAGCAAATCATCACAAACTTGGTGGCTAAAAACAGAAATGTATTCTCTTGTTGTTCTTGAGGCCAGATGTCTGAAACAAAGGTGTCAGCAGGCCCATGCTCCAAAGCCACAGGGAGAAATCCTTCCTTCTTCCAGCTTCTAAAGGCTCCTAGCATTATTAATTAGTTGGCTTGCGGTTGCAGAATTCCAACCTTGGCTTTGGTCTTTACGTGGCCATCTTCCTTCTGTGTGTCTCTGTCCTCTCATAAGATACCAATGGTTGGATTTAGGTCTTACCTTAATTCACGCTGCAATCTTTAACTAATTTCATTGGCAAAGAACCTACTTCCAAACAAGGTCTTTGGTTCTGGGTGGACTTGAGTTTTGGAAGGACATGCTTTAACTCTCTCTAGTGAGTAACTGCTTACTAGGATGAACAATATGCTGAAGGACTCATTGTTTCGTTCCCTCTTAAATCCTCCCGGCAATATTCAGTGATGTTGAATTAATACTAATCATTTCATTAGGGCTTCCCCACCTGTTGAGCATGTGATTAATAGGGAACATTGTAAAGTGAAAAGACTGATGCCTGGGAGTCAGAATGAAAGTTCTGGTTTTGGCTTTGCCATTGAAACAGTGTATGATCTGCATATTAAATGTGTTGCATTTCCTATTCTTATAATTCCACTTGTTATTCAGCACATCCTAAACTTTTAACTTTGTAAGATAACTCATATCATCCTTCAAAACTCAATGACTATACCCTATAGAAAATGTTCCCTGCTTTCCACTGAATTTAGAAGTCCCTCTCCCCCTTCTGAGCTCCTGTATGTGCCTCTATCATACATAGTCACTTTTACACAGTATCATAATAGTTGGTTTAACCATACATCTTCCCCAACATCCTATAAATGTCATGATGGCAGGGCCCATGTCTTATGACCATTTGGTAGTTGATGTCTTTCAAATGAATTAATGAAGCCAAGTGTCTGGGAATGATTCGTGATCCCCTAACTCTTCCCCCTCACTCCTTGCATTGGTCAGTCCTCAAATGTTGTGTATTCACCGTCTCCCCTCTTTCTTCATTGCTCCTGGTAGTTCAAGCCCTCTTGGTCTGTTGTGTAGCCAGCCTGGTTTGAGGATTTCTGAATTGGTCTTCTAATTCCAGTCTCAATATGTAAGATTCATAGTACTGTCAATGATCTCTCAAACATGCAAATCTCATCAGTTTTTCTTCCTTTTAACAAATGGAATACTACTATGTGTCAGGCACTAGGACCGTAACCGTGAAACAAACAGTCCCATCTTCATGCAGCTTATATTGGGAGGGATCTTTAAATACTAATTACACAAATCTTACTCTAAAATCCTTCAGTGGCTTCCCATTGCTGGCTTATAAAGCACTTAGTGACCTGGACCAACTACCTGTCCAGCTGTATCTCCCAGAATTCCCCCTGCTCATCACACTAGCTGCTACCCTCGACTTCCAGAGTCTTCTAATGAAGTCCTTTGTGCCACTATACCTTGCACATGCCTATAGGAATGCACTCATTACGCCATACTGGACCTATTACTTTATATGCTACTGAACTATTAGCTTTTGAGGGGCAGAGAAGTCTTAGTCTTTGTATCAAGGGTTGGTACAGAGCAGTGAATAAATGCATGAATTCTTTTTGACTGATTGGCACAGGAAAGTATTACGATAATTCAGTGGGAGAGAGAAGTTACTGAGCTAATCAGGAGAGTTGCTGGTGAGACAGCAGACCAAACAGACCCACTACTAGTAGACTTCTTATGCCACCTTGGGCCACTCAGATTTTCTCTAATCTACTTCATTGGAGTTTTATGTCAACAAGTGAGATTGCACAGATATTTCTTTCTTCTTGAACACCGTATATTCTAAATTTAATCTGGTGTTCATTTTGTTGTTACTGAAGACCAAATAGCTTAACGGAATTTTAACCATTTCACATTTTAAAATTGAAGGTGTGTCAGATTCAGTGTCCAGAGTCCTGACAAGAATCATTGATAATTAGGGAGTATCATTTCATTGTAATATTACTTCTCCTAAATCCAGTATTATCTAAAACAAAATGTTTTCTGAGAAGAGGTAGTTGAATACAACAGATGACATGTATACATCCATGGAACCATCCGAAGCAAAGTTTCCTCAAAGTTTCCTTGTGCCCCCTTGTAATTCATATTATTTTTTTTTAACGTTTATTTTTTGAGAGAGATGGAGAGAGCAGGGCAAGGGCAGAGAGAGAGGAGACAGAGAATCCCAAGCAGGCTTCATATCATCAGCACAGGGCCCGACACACAGGGCTTGAACTCACGAATTGTGAGATCATGACCTGAGCCAAAACCAAGAGTCAGACACTCAATGGACCAAGCCACTCAGGTGCTGTCCCTCCCTGGTCATTCTTACCTCTAACCCTTTTCTGGACTTTGTGCCTCCAGGCAATCAGTGATCTGCTTTGTTACTATAGTTTACAGTTTCTAACATTTCATATAAGTGGAACCGTAAAGCGTATGCTTTTTGTCTGGCTTCTTTCATCCTGGATAATTCATTTGAAATTCATTAATGTTGAAGCATTAGATCATTCCTTTTTAAAAATTATTTATTTATTAATGTTTATTTACCTTAGAGCATGAGTGGGGGAGGGTGGGGGGGAGGGAGTGGGGCAGAGGCAGAGAGGGAGACACAGAATCTGAGGCAGGCTCCAGGGTCTGAGCTGTCAGTACAGAGCCCAACATGGGGCTTGAACTCATGAGCCGTGAGTTCAGGACCTGAGCCAAAGTCAGTGGCCCAACCAACTTAAGCCACCCAGGCACTCTAGATCATTCCTTTTTTTAATGCCAAGTAGTATTCCATTGTATGGGTTTAACACAGCGTATTGACTTGATTGACATTTGGGTTATCTTTAATATTGGATTATGCATATTCATGGAAGTCTTTGTGTGAAAGGAGGCTCTCCTTTATGGATGAGTATCTCAGAGCGGAATGGCTGGGGCATATGATAGGTGTTTTTCTCATTTGAAACCACACAACTGATTTCCAAAGTGCTACAACTGGCAACTCCAGGTTACGCTCCTGCCAGCAGTGTGAGGTCCAGTTCCTTGCCAACACTGGTAAATACATCAATCTTTTAACTTGAACCATTCAAATAGGTGTGTCACGGAACCATTGTGGCTTAAATTTGCATTTCCCTAATGACTGCTGATGTTGGGAGTCTTTTCATGTACTTTATTTGCCATCCTCTTATCTTTTTTGGTAAAGTGTCTATTAAAATCTTTTGCTCATTTAAAAAAATTGGTCTCAAAAAAAAAAAAAATTAAAAAAAAAAAAAAGAAAAGAAAAGGGGCGCTTGGGTGGCGCAGTCGGTTAAGCGTCCGACTTCAGCCAGGTCACGATCTTGCGGTCCGTGAGTTCGAGCCCCGCATCAGGCTCTGGGCTGATGGCTCAGAGCCTGGAGCCTGTTTCCGATTCTGTGTCTCCCTCTCTCTCTGCCCCCCCCCCCGCCCCCCGGTTCATGCTCTGTCTCTCTCTGTCCTAAAAATAAATAAACGTTGAAAAAAAAAATTAAAAAAAATAAAAAATAAAAAAATTGGTCTGGGAGTGTCTGGCTGGCTCAGTTAGTGGGGCGTGCAACTCTTGATCTGGGGGTCGTTGAGTTTGAGCTTCACACTGGGTGTAGAGATTACTTAAAAAAATAAGTGAATTGTTTTAAAAAACTGGGTTGTCTTATTAAGGTAGAAGGGTTCTTTACATATTCTAGATAATAAGTTGTTGTACATTACGTTTCTCCCAATTTATGGCTGCATTTTCATTTTTGGAACAGTATTTTTTGAAGAGCAAAAGTTTTAAAAACTAGTTCATGCTTTATGTGTTGTATTTAAGAAGTCTTTGCCAAACTCAAGGTCACCAAAATTTTCAGCTAGTGTCATCCTTCTAAAGCACATAATTTGAAAACATTTTTCTGAAAAATACCTGAGGAAAAAATTGCTATGCGTTTTAATAGTGCTATGGTCTAAAATGGGGAAAAGAAAATGAAATGCTGACTGTAAATTTAACATCAATGTGCATAATCAAGCGGTCAATAATTATTTTTAAGCTATGTGTGCCTATTACTTGAAATGTGGAAGATTACTCCAACATAAAAAGAATCACACTTTAAATTAAATAATGAATGTGTTTTTATTTCTCTCCCAATTTTTAAAATGTGAACATTGTGTATTTCAGTCACAGCCTTTACTTCCAGGTGACTTCTTCATTGGGTCTCAATTCCCTGTGTGGAAATTAGGAAGGAAAGGAAAAGGTATAAATTAAACTTTCATGGGGGAGAAAAAGAAGAGTATGAGTTCAATATTTTATATTCTATTAAATTGACCCATTAAAGTTTTTATGTAGACTCAACAGAGCCATTCTGTTCTCTCATGATTTTAAACTTTTACCAGCCCTTCAATTTCATTTTTCTAGATTTAGGAACCGTAATTTTTTAGTCTGTATGAAAGCTTTTATCCTCTGTTCACTTGAGGTTTTCTAAACCCTTTCTAATTCATGTATGTGATCGTTCTTGAAATCCCTAACCATAGACCCCCTCTACATAGGGACTGTGAATGCTGCTCAAGCCTCTGGTCCCCGGAGCTTCTTCCCACCTAGGTGACACCCAGTGGCAGGCACCCTGCCTTGCTAACTACCTCTCTGCTGCCAAAAAAGCCATCTCCAGAGACACAACGGGATCAGGCAGCAGTCAGCTGCCTTCTGATCACTTGGCCACCGTGTCTAGAGCTCTCCAGCAGTGTTGCTGCAAACACAGCACTGAGCCACTATTGGTATCATATATTTCAGCTACATTCTGGTTTATGTAAAATGCTGTCTGATAATGTATGTGAAAGCCACATTAAAGTAGGCTTTGGTGAGCTAGTTTAAAACTTCGTTTCTATATTACAAATGTACCCTGAATGCCAAAAAAAAAAAAAAAAAAAAATTCAAACATCGGAAATACCCTGTTCATAAACTGAAGATCTGTTATTCGAAAGGTAATCACTCAGTTTTATCCAAAGATTAAACGACAAATAATACTACAAAATGATAGCATTTGAATAGAAGTTCTTGGGGGAAAATTTACCCTTTCTGCTTATTTTTGGCACACATGGTATTAAAAAGAGTATTACCAAAAGCTGGCCAATTGTTGGTTTAAAACAAACGTACAAACTAACCTTTTAAACAACAAACTCTTGTTCCGGAAGGCAGTTAGCTTTTCATCGTTCTTTTTGTCTAGATAACATCCAAGGACAAATCCCACAGGCACAAGTATATGTACCCAGTGGTCACGAACAATCTGAATTACGTTCATCATGAATGCTAAAAAAAAAAACCAAACAACAACAAAAAAGAAGAATGAGCAGAAATATAACTGCCTTTGAAATATGTTGAAAAATTGCATTTTGGGGCACATGGGTGGCTCAGCCGGTTAAGCTTCTGACTCCATTTCAGCTCAGGTCATGATCTCACTGTTGGTGTGGTCGAGCCCCACTTTGGGCTCTGTGCGGACAGCTCAGGGCCTGCTTGCATCCCCTCTCTCCCTCTCTCTCTGCCCCTCTCCCACTCGTGCACACACCCTCTGTCTCTCTCCCAAAATAAATACATTAAAAAAAATGTTTTTAATTGCATCTGAAACAGAGAGCTAATCCTGAATTTAGTAAATGTTAAAAGCATAATAAGCCTCTTCAAATTTGCTCAGCATCAGAATGCAGTATACAACTTAAAATCTACTCGACGATTATATAGGTAACAATGGTTAATATAAAAATTGCATCGCACTATGCGGTGCCTGGGTGGTTCAGTCGGTTAAAGGTCCGACTTCGGCTCAGGTCATAATCTCACAGTTCATGAATTCAAGTCCTGAGTCGGGGTGTGTGGGGACAACTCAGAGCCTGGAACCTGCTTCGGAGTCTCTGTCTCCCTCTCTCTTTCTACCCCTTGCCCGCTCACACTCTGTCTCTCTCTCAAAAATAAATAAACTTAAAAAAAAAAAAAGTTTAAAAATTGCATTGCACTAAAATCAACTTATTAACTTTTTTTCTAGTTCCACTAGTGATCTGATATGGTACAGTGCAGAGAAATGGAGAGTATAAAAAATTCCACCTGTAAAAGCGGAGGAGTATTTGCATCCTCCTACTGTTAACTTAAAACTTTTACACATGTGTAAAATCTTTTTAAGACCAAAAAAAAAAATCTTTTAGGACCTCTTACAATACTAAAATATAATTATACTATTATGCCAAAAACCAAATTCTTTAAATAAAGCTATAAATATTGAAGACTAATTTTTGACTTAGCAGTAATTGTGACTCGGATAAACCCCATTAGCTGTGATACTGCTACAGCACAAAGCTGAAACTAATTTTTGAAAGTAAATGAAGATATGGGAGAAATTAAAAAAAATAACCACATTCAACAATGCCATGCTAGGGTCAGCTGGGTGGCTCAGCTGGTTGTGTGTCCAACTGCGGCTTGGATCATAATCTTGCCGTTCCTAAATTTGAGCCCTGCATCGGGCTCTATGCGGACAGCTCAGAGCCTGGAGCCTGCTTTGGATTCTGTCTCCCTCTGTCTCTGCCGCTCCCCCACTCTCTCTAAAATGAATAAACATTAAAAAAAATGTCATGGTAGATCTCAATATCAATCAGTGATTTTATAAAAGATATGGGCAGGAGGGAATTTACTTTCAGAGAACGACTACTAGGTACCGGAGCCATCATATAGTCTTATATGTAACATGAAATAACTATTATTATCCTAATTTTACAGATTAGAAAACACCTTAACCTAAAATTGAGTACAGAGCTGGAATTCAAACTCAGGTTTGCTCCAAAGCTCTGTATTCTATTAGATCACAATGCCTCTCTTCCTGAATTGATATTCCTGATCTCTTCCTGACCTGACATTCATGGCACTTAAGGAATTTTAAGTTCTAAGAGTTCCTAAAAGGTAGAAGAGGAAGAATAGAACTAGAAGCTACCAAATGGAAAATTAATTTGCATTAATTCCATAAAAACATAGTTGCATTGTCAGTTTTCTGTAAAAATGTGTACCTAAAGATGAACTCAAAATACATCTGCCTATATATGAATCTAAAATGAATAAATAATATACAATGGCTGAGAAGGCATAGGACAATACCCTAGTAAGAGAACACGTTACTGCCAACAAAAGTGCTTAGCACGAAACTGCTAGGATTAGGTAGACTGGATCCTGCCTCTCCTCCTAGGACACCGTTTCTCATACTTACACATTCTACTACTATATTTCTCAAACTTAATCACTATCTAAAGGCACTGGGCTAGAAAATGGCCATGAAGTAAAAAGCTGCACAATTACTATATACTCTATTTAATAAGGTGTAATATTACATATAGCAGGTTCCAGTCTGAATATCACCAATCTGGAAAATTATGTAAAGTAAATGAGGTATTTAAAATATATACAGTTCAGGCATTAAAGTTTTAGTCTATTGTCTACAGCTGTTATTCTCAAACTTGCCTGCACATCAAAAGCACCTGGGGAGCCCTGGGACTCCTGGGTGGTTCAGTCAGTTAAGTGTCCGACTTTGGTTCCAATCATGATCTCATGGTTTTTGGGTTCGAGCCCTGCGTCAGGGTCTGTGCTGACAGCTCGGAGCCTGGAGCCTGCTTCGGATTCTGTGTCTCCCTCTCTCTCTCTCTCTCTGCCTCTCCCCAGCTCATGCTCTCTCAAAAATAAACAAATATTAAAAAAAAAAAATTAAAAAGCACCTGGGAGTCTTTATCAAAAATAGAGACTCCTTGGTCCTCCTTCTGGATGGGGTTGGAAAAACCTGTAACTCAAAGAATTGATTTAGTTAGCTAATTTGATGCAAATAGTTCTTGGGTAACCTCATCTTATTTTCTAGAAGATGGTGGCTCTCTTAGCATTGTGCCTTAAGTAACATTATTTGCATTTAGATACAAAGCACTTTTTGTGAATCTGACCAAGTGCCCACCAAATTATAGCCCCTTGTTTTATAAACTTGAGCCAATCAAATATGGGAATAATACATGCCTTAATCAAACAATGTAACTTTGAAAGCAGGAAAATGCAGAATACTAGACAAGATAGGCCTCTGTAGAAATCAAGCTCTCATGTATTGTCACCTGTTGCTACAGATTCCTCAAATTTCTTAATAGGGGCCAAGCCTAACAGCACAGCAGTCAGATAGTGTTTGCATTTAAATTTTTTTTTTAATGTTTATTTTATTTTTGAGACAGAGAGAGACAGAGCATGAGTGGGCGAGGGGCATAGAGAGGGAGACACAGCATCTGAAGCAGGCTCCAGGCTCTGAGCTGTCAGCACAGAGCCCAACTGGGGCTCAAACTCGTCAACCGCGAGATCATGACCTGCGTTGAAGTCAGACACTCAACCCACTGAGCCACCCAGGCACCCCGAGATAGTGTTTGCATTTTAAAAAATGCCTGATGACTCAGTCCGAGACTGTTTTAAATAAGCCCATGGCCACCCGTGGGCTATAAGCCATTATTGTTGGCATTCTTCCAACAGGGCAAGTAGGTATTTTGTCTGGCTCTACTCTGAGAATCTGAGAAGATTCTGAGACAAGCCTCTGAGGCCCTGGCTCCATATAGGCTCTCACATATATTCCACAGGTGAAGAATGGTCGATGGAAGGATTCTATGTTCAAAATACAGAACTGGGTCCAGCCACCATGATTCTATTGCTAGGAGGTAAATGACAAATTTAGTCCCACAGGCATTTCATATTACACTTGTATCATCTATCTAGTGGACTTTGGGAGCAGCGGCACTGAACATAATTTGTCCTCTGTATTTCACTGTGAGTGGATGACCAGGGAGGACAAAGATTTATGGACCTAAGAGTGAGCTAGAATGATTCCCGGAAGAATGGCTAGAAGGTGGAGTATAGACAGGCTCTGGTCATGGGCCGAAGACCACAGAGGGCTTTCATTGATGGACAAACAGCAGCGAGGTCCTGGGACAGACTCCAATGAAACAAGCCCAGGTTTGGATGAAGAGGGACATCCACATGGGTGACCAAGAGAACACTGCACTTAGTACTGTCTTCTTTCCACGGAAGACTCATGAAAAATTCTGCTTTTACTTTAGAACTGGGACTTGCTATGGTATTCCTAAGAAAAACGAATTGTTTTTTCTCTTACAGACTCAAGGAATCATTAACTTATCACCTGTCCTCTGTTACCAATGTTCCAAATTTTTTGCCCTACCTCTAGAAAGAGCAGACTCACATAGCACTATCAGGTACGGTTCTTACTGCTTTTCACCATCACTAACCTCATGTAATCTTCACAACACTATGCGTGTCTGCACTAATGTCCCCGATGTAGGAGGCACATTTTTTTCATGAGGAAATCCAGGGACAATCAACTTGCATAATGTGACAAATGCAGTTAAGTGGTAGAGCTGGGATTAATACTCAGGCAGGGTGGCTGCTTGGTTCAAGCTACTTGTGCTTTATTGTCCGTTAAGGTAACTCTAGAGGTAAACATTTAGACCGACCTCACTCAGGATTATCTTATTTTTCTTAACATTACTTTTTCTTCAACCCAGTTTTTCTCGCGTAACTTCTAAAAAGAAAACTGAATCTGGTATGCATTTTTGTAAGCCAATTTACGTTGTAAAAACATAAATGAATAGATATTTCAAAAATGAAATCCTAATCTCTAATAGGTCCCCACAGCACTTTAGATCGACATTTTTTTGAACCATATATATGATCGATGAAAAGCAGTGCGGGATGCGTGGAGAAACTGAACTGCTTGAGATCTGGAAACGTCTTAATGACATATCCACCCTGGAAACCAAGCACAAATGCAGTATTACATTTTTTAAGTGATGTGTGTGTGTGTGTGTACGCGAGCGCAATGGCCGGCTCAAGAAGGTTTGCGATTTGGAAGAGAACGAGGTTTCCAATCTAGAGCAACGAGGAGACAGAACGCTGAAACCTGGACGAATATGTGATGCTGGCAGAGAAGCAGCGGCTTCCCTCCTTGAGCCTGGAGTGCGACCCCGGCCTGTAACCTCTGCGGCCCGGCCAAGGGCGGTCACCGGGTTATCCCTTAAAGACGTTTTCCAATAATGACAGCCTCCCACTACCCTTTCCAAAAGCCGCCAGGCGCAAAACGGAAGCCCAGCCGTCCCCGGGAAGAAACCCCGATTTCCCTTCCCCGTCTCCACAGCTCGCAAGCCCC